GAAACTTAATGGATAAAGCAGTGGCAGGGTTGGAGAGGATTCACTCCAGTTCGATGGAGATTCTACTGTGGGTAAAACGCTATCAAACAGCAACATATGCTAGAGGGAAACCTTTTGTGAAAAGAAGAGTCCATTGATGTGGGAAAATTCATTGCAGTGTTTTCAGAAATTGTCACAGCCACCCCAACCTTCAGTAACCACCACCCCGATGAGTCAGTAGCCACTAACATCAAGGCAAGATCCTCCACCAGCAAAAAGATTATGACTGTCTGAAGGCTCAGATGATTGTTAGCATTGTGTAGCAATAGTTTTTTTAAATTAAGTTATGTACGTTTTTTAGATATAATACTATTACATTCTTAAGAGACTACAGTATGGTGTACCCATAACTTTTACATGCACTGGGAAATCCAAAAATGTGTGTGATCCACTTAATTGTAATATTTACTAGATTGTGGTAGTTGGAACTGAATCTGCAATATCTTCAAGGTATGTCTGTATTTCCCTTATCTGATGTATGGTTCAAAAATATTTTCTCCCATCCTGTAAATTGTCTCTTCCCTCTGTTTATTGTGACCTTTGTTTTTCATAAACTTTTTAGTTCGATGTAATCCCATTGTCTATTTTTGCTTTTGTTGCCTGTGGGTTTTTTGGTGCGGGGTTATATCATAAAAAATATTTGCCTTTCCTGGGCCAGGTCTGCCACGAAGAACAGAGCCAGGGAGAGGGGCCCCACACGACACAGCCGCCCACGAGTTAGAACACCAGCTCTCCCTTTCTGAGTCTCTCCCCAAACCTCCCATTGCAGGCTTTTCTCAGCCCATCCCAGCAGGAAGAAAATCTGTGCAACTGTTAACAAGAGCGAGAGAGAATTCCAAGGAAAAATTATTCAAGGTATTTTGTGAAATAAAGAAAGCTAAGAATTTGAAGTACAAATTTAATGACTGTGAATCCATCCTTTTTTGTGTCTTCCAGGAATTTGTAGTATATACTGAGAGAACATTCTGGAAGAACTTAAATTATGAGGAGCAGGTTAGAATGTGGTGTATTCATGTTGTAAATTTCAGAGCTCTGGGTTTTAGAATATGTTTATAAAACATATGTTCTTTGTCTACAGATGAAGACTTTAGGCTTAGAACAAATATACTCAACTTGAAACCCCGGCCTGGAGATTCTTCAGAGCTTGCTTGCCAGGGTTAAAGGAGTGTTCCTGACCAGGACAGGTGACTAGATATTTCACTTCGTAAAACATGCACTGGGCACTGACTCTGTACCAGGCCAGGTTGCAGGTGCTCTGCAAAACATTCTCCGTGTCAGGGCAGGCATGGGGGCTCACACCTGTAATCCTAGCACTCTGAGAGGCCAAGGCAGGAGGATCGCTTGAGCTCAAGAATTCGAGACCAGCCTGAGCAAGGGCAAGACCCCATCTCTACTAAACATAGAAAAAATTAGCCAGGCATTGTAGTGCCTGCTTGTAGTGCCAGCTACCCTGGAGGCTGAGGCAGGAGGATCGCTTGCGCCCGAAGTTTGAGGCTGCAGTGAGCTAGGATGACGCCACTGCCCTCTACCCAGGGCCACAGCATCCTAGAGAGACATAAATAATGTCTGCACATCCTGACAGTTCTGCTTTCACACTAGAGGATTCTTCTTGAAAGATCACATTCTCCCATCCCTGCCCCACCAGCATTCTGCAACACACCCTCATATGCAGTCCTCTTCTGGGGTTCCAACCTTTTGGGGTGCTAAAGGCAAAAACTCAGCAAGGTCAATCAAGTTCAAGCCTTGCGGAGAAGGGTGGGAGTTGCCCAAGGAGAGACAATTGGTCCAGGTGAGCCCAGAGAGCTGTGCTCAGCTCTGGAAGCCACTCCCAAGCCTCCTTCTCTTCACTGGACCTCAATACCAGCACCCAAGAGGTCAGTCCCCATCACCTGTGCCCGGGCCCTGCAAAACTGCCTGGGTAGGGGTGGGGTTACCACAAAAGGCACGCCAGGATCCCTTCCCTCCTATCCACCGTCCAGCCCCTCATTTGCCCTGTAACCACCATGAAGGCAGGACCTGGACTCGGGTGGCCTTTGGGATGCTGGATCCCTGCACCCGGTGCCTGGCACAGCGCTGGGTGCGGAGGGGCGGCTAGAGATGCCTGCCTGACCCACGTGGGTTCCTCACTGAGGTTCATTCAGTTTCCTGTGCCAAGTAGTCTCCCACGGTCCTGCCTCCCAGGGGCTTTCAAGAATCGAACAGGGAAGGAAAATGCAGAAGAAAGGCCGGATTGGGATCCTTTGGCTTGCCTGACACCAGGCGCAGCGGAGTGGAGACGGCATTTAACTGACATCCGGACTGCAGAAGAAAACATGAGCATGCAGGGACGTCCTTGCATCGCTGACGAGGCCGGGGAGAGGGTGGGAAGGAGAACCTGAGATCTGGGCAGAAGTCCTGAGTCGGGAGGGGAGGTAGTTCGGGGTTCAAGAACGGAGGGACAGGCGCGGTGTGAACATGGTGGGATCCGGCAGCTCCTGGAATCCCGACTCTGACCTACCACCCTGTTCACAGCGCAGGACGCAATCCCGCGCGGCGTCACCTCCCCTCGCCCCCCACTCCCCGCCCCAGCTCACTCATCCCCCGTCTCGGTCCGTCCCGGTCCTGGCGGGGAGAGGACCCAGAAACCAACCACGCCCCGCGTGGCTGAGCCCTGTTAGTGCCTGTCCCTCCCCGCCCCGCCCCCTGGGGGGCGTTTCATTCGCTTCTCTCTCTTTTTATTGGTCGTCCAAGTTGGGGAATTTCCACACTGGCTCCGCCCCGGTGAACATAAGGTCCCCAGGAGCACCGCCGCGACCACAGTAATCAGCCCGAACAGGTGTCCATTCACCTCGGAGTTTGTCCCCTGCAGCACTCGCGACAGGAGCGCTCCCTCTCGCCATGGGACTGGCTGGGGAAGGGCGCGTCCCAGCACCCGGGTCACTGCTCCGGAACCTCAAGACCCCTATGTTTGTCGTCGTCGTCGTCGGTGTCCTGTCGGTGAGTCCCCGCCGCGGTCCGTTGCGCGAGCAGAGCGCGCCTGGTGCTGGAAGGGGGCAGGGGATTAGGGCGCAAAGAGGGGCGCCTGGCCCGGCACCTGCGGCTGGGCAAGTCCGGGCGGGACGAAGCTGTCGGCGGAGCCGGGGAAGGCGGGGCCCGGCGCGGGGCCGCCAGGCAGAGGCGCGCTCTGGGCGGGACTGGCACCGAATTCGAGGACCGCGGGTCCCGCGGGCCCAGCCGGAACTGCCGAGCGCGTCACCGGGACCCGCAGCCTGGCTGTCTCTCCCGTCTTTCCATTTTTCCTCCCTCTGTCCCTTCGCCTCTCCGTCCCTTTGTCCCGCTCTTCCTCCCTCCCTCCCCCCGTGCATTTTACTTTTTTGGGTATTGAATTTAGTTGCGGTTTTGTGGCGAACTATCACTCTTTCCGCCCCCCCTCCCCCACCGCCACCCCGCCACTCGCCACCAGGCCGAGCTGGAGTACAGTGAGGTTAGTCAGAGCTCTCTGCAACCTCACTCACACTCTTGGGCACAAGGGATCCTCCAGAGTAGCTGGGAGTATAGGCAAGGCCCGCCAGGCCCAGCTAATTTTTCTATTTTTAGTAGAGATGGGGGGGGGGGTCTCACTCTTACTCAGGTTGGTCTCGAACTCCTGAGCTCAAGCGATCCTCCCACCTCGGTCTCCCAGAGTGCTAGGATTACAGGTGTGAGCCACCACACCTGACCCTAGTTGTGTTCTTTTAAAATACTCCAGTTTCTCTTTAAACCCTGTAGATCCTTCGCCTTTTAAAGTGTATTTAAAAGTGTTAAAGTGTATTTTAAAGTGTATCGAGTATTGGGATCACTTTGATCATCTGATACTAACTTTTAACTTTCTATCTTATCTTCATTGCCTTGTTCAGGGGCTAATTTAGTAAACTATTAGGCATGCCATGGTTACTTTGTGATGACAACTAGTCAGCAACCCTGTCCTCAGGTGTGTCCACCATCAGATCCCAAACTTGAGCAATTCCCAGCCCTGGATGGGCCTCGATGCTGGCCCATCCCCTAATGTCTGACGTCTCCCCTCGCCTGGTGGCTTCCTCTCAGGCACACCGTGGTCTCAGCAGACACTGGGTGTGCCCTCTGCAGGGCTCCAGAGTCTTCTGTGCCGCTGCTTCTCCGGGTTTCTGCCCTGCACTCTGTCTCTGGGAGCTCCTGTTTGTGGTCCCCTCCCCGTGCTGCAGCCTGGAGCCTGTCCTTAGGTGGTGAACTGAGGCCACCGCTAGGCTCACCTCATGTGTCTGGGGGGCAGTTGTTCACCCATGAAGTTGACAATGAGCCCTTGGCTCTGGGAGAGTCTGTGCCTGGGGTGGGGGGAGGACAAATGAGCCCTGTGGGAATTCTGCTTCCTGGGGACCCACAGTCTGGTGGAGGAGGTGACACCAGGGACCTAAATGAAGTCAGGAGGCACAAGATCCCACCACCCTGCCTCCCCCACCTCCAGAGAGGCTGTGACGACTCCAGGGACGTCCTTCCTCCAGTTTGACTCCGGCAGAGGGCAGCCTGTGCACTTGCGAGGCGCCAGGTTGTTACTGGTGGCGGGGAGGATGCGGCTGATTATGATAGCACTGGGAGCCATGATCGCGCGGAGTCAGCGCACGTGCTTCTCGTGCCCTGTTCTCAGCACTTCACACACATGTTAACACATTTACTTCTCACAACAACCAGACTATGTACGAACTTTGACTATCCAGGGCAGCTCTAAGAGGGTGTGGGTGATCTAGAGAAGAAAAAAGAGATTGCTTCGGTTTTTTGTTTTTTTGGTTTGGTTTGGTTTGGGTTTTTGAGGCAGAGGCTCACTTTGTCGTCCAGATTGGAGTGCAGATGCATCATCATAGCTCACTGCAACCTCCAACTCCTGGGCTCACGTGATCCCCCTGCCTCAGCCTCGCGAGTAGGTGGGACTACAGGTGCATGCAGCCGCGCATGGCTAAGTTTTCTATTTTTGTAGAGACGGGGTCTCCATCTTGCTCGGGCGTTCCTGACCAGCCATGTGTGAGTCACACTGGTGAGTCACCAAAGAAGGATAGACCAATGGGATAGAACAGCAGGGGAACAGCGGGGGCCCAAATAAAGGAGTCACCCAATGGGAAAACGTACCCGTTAATGACTCATCGTGGGGAAAACAGGTTCTCTGGAGTCCAGGCAGGACAAGAATGGAAATAAGCCTCTGTCCTCCCCCATTCTCATTTTCCTTATCTCTCTCTTTTTTTCTTTTTTTTGAGACAAAGTCTGGCTCTGTTGCCCTGGCTAGAGTGCCATGGCGTCAGCCTAGCTCACAGCAACCTCAAACTCCTGGGCTCAAGCAATCCTCCTGCCTCAGCCTCCCGAGTACCTGGGACTACAGGCATGCATCACCATGCCCGGCTAATTTTTTCTCTATATATATATTTTAGTTGTCCAGATAATTTCTTTCTATTTTTAGTAGAGACAGGGTCTCACTCTTGCTCAGGCTGGTCTCGAACTCCTGACCTTCAGCAATTTACCTGCCTCGGCCTCCCAGAGTGCTAGGATTACAGGCGTGAGCCACCTCGCTGGCCTTCCTTATCTGTTAGCCATGCCAAAACCTCACCACACCATGAGCCAGGTCCCGTGGACTGACACGACCTCACCTCTCTGGCTACACCCTCGGTCTCCCTCGATCAGAGAGGCCCACAGACTACAGAGCCTCGTCCAGCCTCACTTGCCTTTACTCCCCTGTCCCATGACTCCGACTTCGCATCCCTCTGGGGTCCCTTCTGTGTGGACTTTTCCCTCTACGTCGGTCTCCTGCCATCAGTGGCATTTGTCGCCTCTTCCTGGACAGCCCCTCTAGACTCTTTGCACCTTCATCTACTTTGAGGTTATTTTTGGCCTCCACTCCCTGGGAACTGTAATGACCCTAAGGAAAGGCAGGGCCGAGTCTTGTCCCTGATGTTCCACGATTCCTTGCACAGTGTGGTCACCAGATATCAGATGTGCCCTTCCTGAGTGAATGATTCACTTGGATTCTAGGAGGCCTGCACTAACGCAGATGTTACTCATTGCGGTCACAGAGTGAGTTTAATGGCAGAGGTGGAAAGTATGCCAGGCGGGCCGAGGAGAGAACAGAGGATCTGAATAGAATGCTGAGGACAGTCCAGGCCCACTGTCACCAGGGACATCCCCCATCCAATCCCAGTACTTCAAAGATAATTGGTTGCCCAGTGGGTAGTGGATTAGATGGGGGACCTCAGAAGTGGCCCGGCCAGCATCAGGGATGTGCGCTAGTGGTTAGGTTGTGTGGTCAGTTCACATCATCCTGAAGGAGGAAGCCGCAGCCAATATGGGTCCGAGGGCAAGGATTATGGTAAAATAGGCAGGCGATGCAATGGATTTCGTAAGAAGAGGAAAAGCGATTCGGAGTGGATTCTAGTTTTCCTAAAGAGTTTTCTAGTTTTCTGAGAGTTGTCTGAGGTCATTAACAAAAAAGAGTAAATGGGCATAAAATGGCTTTAAGAATTAGGCCGGACCCCCATAATATGCTGAAATAAAAGCAAAAAAAAAAGAGAGAGAATTAGGCCGGGCGCGGTGGCTCACGCCTGTAATCCTAGCACTCTGGGAGGCCAAGGTGGGAGAATTGCTTGAGCTTAGGAATTCCTGACCAGCCTGAGCAAGAGCAAGACCCCATCTCTACAAAAAATAGAAAAATTAGCTGGGTAAAGTGGCTTGCAGCTGTAGTCCCAGCTATGTGGAGGCTAAGGCAGGAAGATCATGTGAGGCCAGGGGTTGGAGGTTGCAGTGAGCTATGATGACACCACTGCATTCTAGCTGGGACAACAGAGCAAGCCCCTGTCTCAAAAAAATGAAGAATTAGGAATCTGGAATCTGAATGTGATTTCGGAGACAGTATGGACTTGTCATTGCCAGCAGACCTATAGTACACAAAAGGCTAAATGATGATTTCAGTCCGAATAGAGATGACACAAAATGGAAACATGAATCTTATGGAAGGGAGGAATATTGTTAGAAATAGAAAATGTGAAAGCACAGATAAAGAACTATTATTTCCTCTTTATTTCTTGAAAAGATACATTATCAAATTATATAACAGTGCTTGTGGGGTTTGTAACACATGCACATGCCTAAGACAATTATAGCAGAAGAATGGGTGGTGGTGATGAACGAATATATATTATTTCAAGTCTCTTATATTTTACATTAATATTACAATATTAATTCCACAATACAGCTCAGTAATAAAAAGGGATGAAATATTGATGCATGTGATAATATGAGTGAATGTAAGCTTTTATTACAGTTTTCTCTTAAAACTTGTTTTGCTGCATCCCATAAATTTTGGTATGCTGTGTTTCCATTTTCATTTTCTTAAGATTTTTTTTTTTTTTTTTTGAGACAGAGTCTCACTGTGTTGCCCTGGCTAGAGTGCCGTGGCGTCAGCCTAGCTCACAGCAACCTCAAACTCCTGGGCTCAAGCGATCCTCCTGCCTCAGCCTCCCGAGTAGCTGGGGCTACAGGCATGTGCCACCATGCCCGGCTAATTTTTTCTATATATTTTTAGTTGTCCAGTTAATTTCTTTCTATTTTTAGTAGAGACGGGGTCTCGCTCTTGCTCAGGCTAGTCTCGAACTCCTGAGCTCAAACAATCCGCCCACCTCGGCCTCCCAGAGTGCTAGGATTATAGGCATGACCTACCGCGCCGGGCCCATTTTCTTAAGATTTTTTAAAATTTCCCACTTAATTTTCTTCATTGACTCATTGGTCATTCAGGAGATTGTCTTTTTAAGTCCTTTGCCCATTTTTTAATCAGTTTGTTTGATTTTTGTTGTTGTGATTGATGAAATTGAATCCGTTATATATTCTAGATAATAAACCCTTATCAAATATATAATCTGTAAATGTCTTTCCCATTCTGTGGGTTGCCCTCTCACTCTGGTGATTGTTATTTGATGCCCAGAATTTTTACATTTTTACATAGTCCAATTTATCTATTTTTTCCTTATGTTGCCTATGTTTTTGATGTCGTATTCAAGAAATCATTGCCAAATCCAAGGTCATGAAGAATTGCTTCTATGTTTTCTTCTAAGAGTTTTATAGTTTTCACTGTTATGTCAGATTTTTGATCCATTTTGAGTTAATTTTGAGTTAATTGTTGTATATATGTAAGGCAAGGATAAAAGCTTACTGTTTTCTTATGAGTCAATATCTAGATTTCCCAAAAGGATTATTTGAAAAGATTGTCCTTTCCCCATTAAATGGCTTTTGTGCCCTTGTCAAAAAGATGATACAAAGGTATCATTTGATCATATACAGTCATGCACCATGTAACATGTTTTGGTCAACGATGGATCACATATACAATGGTGGCCTTATAGGATTATAATGCCATAATTTTCCTGTACCTTTTCTATGTTTAGATACCCATATACTTACCATTGTGTTATAATTGTCTACGGTCTTCAGGACAATAACACACTGCACCACTTTGTAGCCTAGGAGCAACAGGCTCCATATACCCCCAGTGCGTAGCAGGCTATATATACCCTCTAGGTTTGTGTGAGTACACTCTGTGACGTTTGCACGAGGACAAAATTGCCTAAGGATTCATTTCTCATAGCATGTCCCTGTCAGTAAGCAATATATGACTGCATGTGAGCATGCATTTCTGGGCTCCTCTGTTCTATTCCGTTGGTCTATATGTCTGGTACCTTTTTTAAAATCAGAAGTTTATTATTTAATATTTGATCCTAGATCCCAATTTTTTTAAAGTTTGCATATAGTGAACCCTCACTTTTTTTTTATTTTAGTATATTATGGAGGTACAGATGTTTAGGTTATGTATGTTGCCCTTACCCCCTCTGCCCCCCAAGTCC